GAGAAATATGACCAATTTTACTACAAGATTATTTTATTTGTAACTTTGTTGTACATTTCTCCACCCAGTTGGGATGGGAAGAGTGTGTAGCCTAAACCTTATAACCTCTAAAGTCTGGGTCAACATTGAGGCTGGCTTGGGAAGTCCACAGGCATGCTCCAGGCTTCCCTCTGAGACATGGACACTTGTTCTCAGAGAATCCTTACAGAAGGTGAAGTTCTCTTGGTTTGATAAAAATTATCTGGTACTACTTATTTCTCCTTACTCCTCTGTCAATTAAGTGGAATTCAAAATATTCAACTGTGCCTACTTTTCCATGGACTTAGAGGGTTTTTAAAATAAATTCAAAGTCACAAGATTTTCTGGAAGTAGAACATGTGCCTCGGGATAGTCCATTGGGCACACAAGGTAGCTTTAAACACTCAGTGGTTTGAGCCAGGGGCAAGTTATACAGTTTTAAGTTTAGGCTACGTACCCTATTACCTCACTGGCCACTGGGTAATACCCCATGCCTAGGTGGATGTTATGCAGGCCTTATTTTACTTTCAGTAAGGTGGCACTAATTCATTACATTGTATTTTGGGTGCTAACAGTTAGGACTAAACTATGCCAAAGCATATTTCACCTCCATAAAGAAGCTACTTGCAATGCTACATTCTGGATATTTCTCAGAAATAAGTATAATGTGATTATCTCCAAAAAAGAATTCTTTGACTAAATCTTCTAGAATTCTGTGACTGAGTTTTCCAGTTTCTAACTCCATCTTAAGAGAGAAATGAGTCTTAGTAAAAATCACTGGTTTGGGTTTGACATTACTTCTTGTACTATATGCCTTCTCCTCTTTGTCATTAAATAAAGACTAAATCTTGGTTAGGATGAAAAGTGAACTCAACAATAACAACACAACTACTACTACTACTACTAAGAGTTAATTCTGAGTATTTACTATATGCCATTTATTCTAAGTATTTTTTATTTAACTTAATTCTGGAAAAAGTCCTATGAGGTTGATACTACTTATTACAGAACACCAACCTACAACTTCTTTGTCAACTAGCTGGGAAGCCAAATCAGAGCCTCTGCAGCTATCAATCCAAAAGGTCAGGACTTGGTCAAGGACTACGAGCTTCCCTATTTTTTTGTACACTTTCCACTTCGGATTCACTTGGGAAAGCTCTAAACCAATCAGATAAGAAGCTGCCTTTCTAGATTGCCATCCTCCAGCTTCCACGAGCCAAGAGGCTCCAGTCAGAGCATACTTAAAGCCTTCCTTTTTTCACTACTGTCAAAGAAAAATCACATGAGACATAGTTAAACAAGCAAGGAAAACTGTATCAAAGACTACTGCATTAGGATAGAGATTGAACTCACTCCTTTGAAACAAAAGGTGGGAAAGTTTTAAGCACTGGGGTGAGCTAATGGAAAAGTACTGAAGGACAATGTGGGGGTGGTCAATGTGATTAGACTGCCTGTGTTTACTAATTGACACTTATTGAAGTTGGGCTCCTACCTTCCCACAGGGACTGGGAGTTAGAGACCCTATCTTCCTTGATGGTTACATTTCAAAGGGACGGCTCTTAGGTCCTTGAGAAAGACATGCCTGGGTTGTAAAACTGGCAAGACACTGGGGGAAGATTTATATCTCAAAGGGGCGAGAAAGAATTTATAATTCCAAGTTTTCAAAAGTAAATGTTCTAGGAAAAGAGAAGTCAAGAGCCTGTAGTCAGGCAGAAACCTGTTTAATGTTTAGTCAAGCTGAGGGAACATTAGAATCCTGTTGGTCACTATAAAGCTTTCCTACTGCCCTACCTGCCTTTGCTTCCCTGCCTGGTGCAAGCAATACTGGCTGACCCCCCCGACTACACCAAGCTCTGAACACACAGCCTTTGCTTGTTCTATGTGAAGCTGCAGTCTCCTCAAAGTACTCTTATTCTGTTTTAAACGTAGAAATCTCAGTTTGAATTTGAAGTTAATTCCCTGCTTTGAAGATAATAAAGTCCTACATTTTGTGGGTAACTACTGGCTACATAGTGCTTATGAACTAATCATAACTCTTTACTGTCTCCAAAGTACTCTGGATGGTTTTATTTCTTATCTTCATCTAGAGAAGTAAATTCATAAAGATTTGCCATCAGTAATTAAAGAGCAAAGTACTGACTGCAGTTATACAGATGTCAGGGTGTTCAAGAGTCACTGCCTTTTGTTTTCTTATCTGAATCAGTTGATTCAAATTCATGCTCCACCTTCTCCCCACTCCTTCTCCCCACAACTCATCACAAGTGGCTGACAAGTCCTGACTCAGCCTGCAGAGGTGGTGCAATTGTGCTTTCCTTAATGACTTCCTGCCCTTCCTCCCTTAAGGAGTTTTTTGAGAATGTATTAGTTCACATTCTTAGATAATGAAAGAACCACATTTCTGAAATAGTTTGAAATCCAAAAATTAATCAATGGTTCATTTGGAAACAGTTTAAAGTAACAAGGCCCTTTAAGAAGACATTACAGGGCTCTTCTGATTTCTCAAAAGGCCGGACAACAACTTAGTTCGGGTTTGGTGACATGGAACTTTAGCAAAGATGACTCCATTTTGATCTTTGGTCAGGTCTGTTGGGGCCTACTGCAGGAACTTAGTCTAAAACAATGGCCTCCTGTAATGTTCATTTAACAGTCTTCTCACTGCACAAATTACAATGTGTAATTCTTTTATTTGTTTGTTTACTTATTCATTTTGTCTCCCCCCAATAAAATGTAGTCCCTAAAAGGAAAATGGTCTATCCTGTTCACTGCTGCATCTCCAACTGGCACATAATAAGTGTTCAATAAATATTTGTCGAATGAATGAAAAGTAGGACATTGTTTCATCATTTACCAAGGAGGTTGACAGGAAGAGAAAAATGGAGTTTGAGAAGTCACAAGATATGCTAAACCTTGAAAAAGTGCCAGGTGACCAAGGGATTGAGAGAAGATAGAGCTGGCTTATGTGAAGCAGCAAGCAAGTCAAGTCAGTAACCATTTATAAAAGGCCTGCTCTGTTCAAATCATGGGGTCACCTAATCTCTCACTCTGAGGTCTTACAATCTAGTCAGGATGAAGGGAAATTAACACAAAAATAGAAAATAAAAATGTAGCATGGTGGACCATCATCTTTAAAGTAATGAAAGAAAAAAATGGTCATCTGAGAATTCTATACCCAGTGAAATTCTATTTAAAAAAAAGTGAAATAAAGTAAAATAAAGGCATTACAAAGCTTCTTAGAGATCTCTTTGCCAATGTACAAATTCATATTTCCATAATATCTAAATGTTTTCATAATTCTACAAATTATTCTTTTTATGGCATTGTTAACAATGAGGAATATAAAAAAATAAAAACTTTTTCAGTTTTGGTAAGTGACAAAGTAAGACCCAGAACTAAATATAGGGTATATGTCAACGCTTCTCAAACTCTTTAATGTGAAGCACCCTGGGATCGTGTCAAAACACAAATTCTGATTCATTAGATCTGAGGTGAGGCCTGAGGTTCTGCATTTCTATAAACCTTGAAGATGCCCAGCTGCTGGTGGTTCACAGAGCACACCTTGAGTAACAAGGTTATGTTATACATTATGTTATACATGTTAGTTTATATAAAGACAGTACTCGGAAAATACAGAGAGGATACACTAAAGCTATTTTTATATAGTTTATGCTTAGAAAAGTACATATGTACAAATATACACATAAATATAGAATAAAATAAAATCATACTGGAAACATCAAATGTTAAAAAAAATTTAGGGTCATGGATGAGTTTTTGGTTTCTTTTATTCTACTCTTATTTTTCCTCACAAAATAATCCATTCCCAAATTTTTCTGCAGTGACTATAACTTTATCTTTTAATAGAAAGCTCTTTCTTTCTTTCTTTTTTTAAAGCAAAGAGCCACATTGAGTTTTATCACCAAGCACTGGTAATGTCCGACAAGAATAAGAGCAGCAAATCAAATGTACTGCATCTCAAAGGTGATAAAGGTTGTGAACAAAGGGTTTTAAGAGAGGTTAGCACTTGCCTGACCCGTGGTGGTTACCTGCCTCTGTGACATTTGTCTTATGGTCACTCGAGTGGTCAGGTGGCTTCTGGAAGTCTTTGATGTCATTCGTCCATCTAATACAATCCTAGAAGATCATATTTTTCAGGGTGGTAAAGGTAAGGTCAAAGATCCAAGGTCCAGCCATTCTTGGAGATTTCTTAGTATTGAAGATAACCAAGTTTCACTTTGGACGCACTCCCAGGACACTTGTGAATGGGAAAAGACTCCTAAGGCTCCTCACACTATGGGATTCTGCTTGGATCAGGAAAACCTGTGAAGCAAATTCAACAGTACGTCAACTTACTAGTTTTTGTTTCCAGTGAGACATGTGCTTAAAGGAAATCTATAAACATGTAAGCAGTTAACAGAGAGGCTGGATAAATGCTTTAAAAATAATTTTTCATTTAAAGGAGATAAAATTAAACATATTTGGGTTAAAAAAGTTAAGCTAACCTGAATAAATATATTTTTGACAGAAAGGAGATAAAATAAAAACTAACTGTACCTACTCTGCTTTTCGGAGATGACAAATCAGATTTAAAATTTCAGAGGGAAAACTAACGTGACAGGTCCTAAAGAAAGTATTCAAAGGTCCTACCTTGCAGGAATGAGGCAGACTGCGAAAACTTTTGAAAGACCCTGTCAAGCTTAATGCACCTTAGTCCTTTGAATCTTAGCATGAGTCCTTACACAAGACGTGGAGGTCATTTCTAAGGAATTAAAGGTATGTACTTACTGATCCGTTACATCTTAGGAAAAGCTGGAAATAAATCCTTTCAGGAGTGCAGAATAGAGTCTTAGTAAAAAACACTGGTTTGGCTTTCATTAGATTTCTTGTGTTATGCGCTTTCTGCTATTTATTATTAGATAAAAGATTAAAGCGAGGTTAGGATGAAAAGTGAACTAAACAATAGCAACCACACTAATAACAGCCAACTTTAAACATTTATTGTATACCAGGTGGAGTACTAAGTATCTTCATTTAACTTAATCCTAGAGAAAACTCTATGAGGTTGACACAATTTATTATCCCCATTTAACAAATAAGGACACAGAAGCACACAGAGATTAGGCACCTTGCCCAAGGTCACTCAGTAAGAGGGGAAGCCAGTTTTGAACCCAAGCAGTTGAATTCAAGTCTGCTCCACAGGGAAGGCAACTGAATGAAGCTACTGGTTTTGGGTCATTGTAAAGGATACCTTTCTTATTGTCTATATTCAACGATCAGTCACCTGGGGCATGTGATGATACAAACAAACTAGTAAGCTTAAGTATTAAATTTATCTGCCGAGAAGGTTAACCTCATATAGGAGACAGACAGGGTGTTGAAGGAAAAGAGTTCATTTTAAGGGGACAATATTACCTTTTCTATCTATCAAACAGCTTTGAACACGGATTAGCTCAGGTGCTGAATTCCTCTCTCAAATGAGGGTCATGCAGATCTGAGAACCGCTTGTGGTGACTCTACAGTGCACAGGCCTTGCAGGATTCAGGGACATCAAGGGAATTCTAGTACTTCTCATAAACTTGAGTTGTAAAACCCAGGATGTCATCAGTCATCTTTTGACCCCTAGAAACAAGTCCTAAAGGCCATCCCCAAACCTCTAGGAGGGAGATGACCACATTCTTTGTACACTTAGTAAGCACATGCAATTACTGTGTGACCTACACAAGTTATGTGACCTACACAAACTATGTGACCTCTAGACCAAGGTAAGATATATCTTACATATCTTGCCTGTCAGGAGGCAAAAGGTGGATCAGATGACCTTTTGATGGCATTTCAAGCTCTAAATTGAAAGTAAGGGGCAAACGGGGAGGACCGAGGTAGGAGGCACTGTTTACTGTTTACTTCTCAAAAGCCAGAGTCCCACTTGTTTTGTTAATTCTTGCGGTAAACAAATACTCCTTCAGTATTGGTAGGGTTAAGCAGTTTATCTTTCTCCAAACCAGGCCAGCTACTAATTAAAGAGTTAATAAAGATGGTGTTTAGTAATAAAAAATATATAAAATAAGAAAAAAAGAAATTAGTTGTTTCAATAGCACCAGGAGAGATGTATTCTCGCCTACAAATCTTACAATAAAAAACTATGGACAAGAATAGATATACAAGCATTTTATGGCAAACTATATATTTCTATTTACCTTTAGATCAGAAGACACATATGCAGTATTTTTAACATTAAAATAATTAAAAATTTCAGATAAAAGGCATTTTTATTGGACTAAATTAGATATTCTTTTGAGTAAAGCACTTTTAAACGGTATTTTACCTTCAAAGCTCAGTCTTCTGTCCCCCCACCACCACCACCACCCTTCTTTCCTTAGCTCCTCTCTTTTTCTTTCTACCACTGAAATGGGGGGAGGGAGGGGAATGAAAACTGTGCACAGCAAGAGAGTGACAAGAAAAATTCTGTTAACTTGCTGCTGTGGTTTTATTTCCCCATTTCATTTACTTTCTTTCTTGGCTTTTATAACAATTCTCTCTCCCACCCACTTTGCAGAGAACAGACCTCAAACTTCCGCTTTTAAGTTCTAAGGAGGAAAAGGGGGAGGCAGAAAAGAAATCAATTGAAAATTATAGCAAAACGCGAATTAACAACAGTTGTTCTTATTTCAAAATTCCCCCATTCTGACAATTTGAAAATACCTTGTTTCCCCCTCTTCTAAAATGACTTAGATTCCCAGACTCACAGTATTTAAACCCAGCTGTACTGGGTGTCTTCTGCCTCCCTGAAGCGTAGCGCCAGCCTCTTAAAAAGTTCTTCGGGTCGGTTCATTGTAGTTTGGTGTCCCCAGAACAGCATTTTCTGTTCAGGATTATTGTTCACACACCAGACCGGAACACTCCTCGGGCTCCTCTTTCCTGTTTAATTTCCTTGGGGAATCAGGTCCTTGGGGACGGTGGAGCGATCCTCTCCACGGCGCCGTCGCCGGGTGCCTCCGTGCCGGGACAGCCAGGGCTTCAGCGGGGGTCCCGGCGCCCCACAGGCTGTCTCACTCCCTATTGGTGCGAAAAGTGACCGCGGTCATGCAGTGCTCCTCGGTCCTCGTGGTCATGCGACCTTTCGTCCACGCGGTCCTCAGCACCTCTTGTGTCACCTCATAATCCACGACCCGCACGAGCACGGATTTGGGGGGGGCTGCGGGGTCCCGCGGCGGGGCTCCAGAGCGAGCGGCTACACGCCTGCCAGAGATAAGCTTTTCTCGGTGGAAGAGTTGAGAAGCGCAGTGGGGTTTCTGGTCGTGGTCATCTCCGCGCGCCTGGGGGAGGTCCTCCCCACCGGCCACCTCTTCCCTTGCATGGTTCCCTTGAGTCCCCAACCACCTCTCTGGGTGCAGAAGAAAGAGCACTTTTTCTCTGACCCAGGGCTCACAGTCCAAATTCTCTCTGGCCGGTGGTCCGAGGGTCCGACCTGCCGACCGGTCTTGGTGGGCGCTGCCCCGGCTTCCGCTGGCCCCCGCCACCGTGGGGTTCGGGGCGCCGGGAGCCAGGGGAGCCCCGCGCCCCATCTCGCGCGGAAAGGATCTGGCGCGCCCCAGGTTGTGGGGGGAGTCCGTGGGATTCGCAGCTCCTTCCCGGGTCCCCATCCCGGCGGGAGGGTCATTCATCTGCTTGTTCTTTCACCGGTTCAGGCAGAAGCTCCTGCTGAGCTCTAGAAAGCGCGGGACAGGCAAGCCCTGGGTGTGGCCTCCGGGGCAGGCCCGGGACTCCCCGCCCGCCAGAGCTGGGGACTAGATCAGCCTTACGCCAGTTTGGGCTTAACCCTGCCTTCTCTTCCTCCGCTCTTCTCTCCGCCGCGTCCACCCTCGGGCTTTGCAGCCGTTCCCGAACAGAAGGCCTGACATCCCCAATCGCTCCTCTACTCCTTCCTACCCCTGTCCCTAGCCCTGCCCCTTTAGCCGCTGGTCTCATTCTATCCCTCTCACTTCTCTCCCGCCCACTTCTGCAGAGTTGAAGTGCAAAAGACACCCTCACACTGCGCCTCCTGTTCCCGCTCCACACCCCTCACCCCGTGCCCCAAAGAAAGTATGTTTTCTTTCAACGGAGGCTCCTTCCTTGAAGGAACAAGGAAATTTATTTTTCTAATTATCTGATCTAATCAAATTCTTCTGAAAATGGTTTCCCAACCACACCGAAACCACCCCCACCGTGCTGCCAAGAGTATCAAATATAGATCAAAAGGTCAGTTGAGAAGTTGAAGCCTTGGAAAAAAATAGCTTTTGATGTGTTTGTCCTTCTTCCTTTGGAATGCTGGAAAAGGTAGGACAGGGTCACACGTGTCTTCATTTTGGTTATAATCAACTCTTATTGAAAGGGACATTAGGCAAAGTGTAGCCATCTTTGGGGTAACTTGCCGGAGTCCAGCCCCAGCTGGTTCTTGGAGCCTGAGAAGGATGTGTGGAATCGGCGAGAAAAAAAAAAAAGAAGAAGAAAAAGACGGACCAATGATGTCTAGTGCATCAGTGGACAACAGACAAAAGCCGTTTTCCTTTATTTATATCGTGTCTATCCTCCAATTATTACACAAAGCAAGTATTTTTCATCAGGTTAATATTACACTATGAACATAAAATTGATCAATACAATACTTAAATCATTTTCTTTTGACCATACTGAATCATAAGTTTTTAAAGAACTACATGTCATTATTTATAAATCATAATCTTTAGGAAAGTACATATTATTTTTCAAATTGAAAAAGGTAATGAACCATCTCAACCGATTGTTCCCAATCAGTCACAAATCACAATCTCCTAGAAAAGTACACATCATTCCTTAAAGTGAAACAAACTTAACCAGCAAGCAAGAGTTTCAAACCGAGGTCTGTGGCCAGTGGCCAGAGACCTCACGGTTGGCAGCCATGCGGTTTTTGAATAAAACATTTAACCCTTACAACATATGATTTTTATATATCCATCACATTTTGATTTTAATTTTTTATCTTAATCAACTAAAAGCAAGAATTATTTATAAAGGCATATTCTTTTATAATATGATTTAACTATTTGTGTAAAACGATTCTTTGTTTAAAAATTTTTTGAGCAACTTAAAAGCCCAGACCTAACCGATTTTTTCATAAGCAAAACTTTAAATTTTTTGCTCACATTTAATCTTATCATATCATATATTTGTCCTCTATCTATGGCCCTGTATAAGAAAGAGGAGGTCTATCAACTCCTATATGTAGCATGCCATTTCTTCCTCCAGGAGTTCACCAGACTTTTAAAATTTAACCAACACAATTGTCGTCTCTGACAGTAAAAAACCAAACCCATGCGTGGTAAAATAATGTCCCGGGCAACTTGTACCTCGGGTAAATTTACAGGAAACTTATTGTTATTTTACTTTATCTCACCACCCCATCCATTCATCTGTACAGAAAGGCCTCTTGGCTTCTCTGTACCTGTTTTTTGGAACAATGGTTAGAACAAATCATAGACCCAGGTGTACTTTTTAACATTCTTGCCTGGGTTTAATTAATCAAATCAAACCTATTTTTCTTAACTAAAAGTTTCCCAGAAAACCAGTTTCAATAGCCAGAAAAAAATGTAATCTCATTTGTATCGTTATTAAAAGGTACAACTGCCACCTCACGCCAAACGCACAAGAGCAAAAACATTCCCATAAAACATCCTATTATTTCCAGGGGGGTTGATGAGTACATGCAATCCAAAGAATACCAGAATAGGGATTTTTGGGAAAACTTCCACGGGACCCCTTGCCACACATACGGAGATTCTCCGCAGCTCTGCTCAACAGAGAACGGTTCTCCTTACATTCCCACACGGGAGTCCACTGACGCATGGCTTCCGACAGCAACTAATACCGGGTGGAAAATTCCAGCTAGCCATTAACTTAGGAACAATGCTATTACAAATCCATGACTTGCTAATTGCTTGCACAATTCTTAAAGCTGCAGACATTCCTGAGACTTTCCAAGAAGTTGATAATCATCAGTGCCTTAAGGTCACCAGAGGAACTGCAAAACTGACCATAGGGCAGAAACTGCCCAGATATGAAACTGTGCCCCAGAACAATCCTCCTTAGAAGTTTATTTCTCTTTGTTTCCCACCTTATGCTCTTGTGCTTACTTACTTAGATTTTATATAAGTAAAACTGAGGATCAAAACTAAGTTCCTTCTATTTTGCCTTGCTTTCTTAATCAATCTGTGAACAAAGGAATTCCAAGGCACCCTAGCTGAATATTAATTTACCCACTTGCTAGAGGTCAGGCAGTTTTATGTTCCAGTAATGCCAGGCTGAAATTATTGTCTTTGAGTTCTCCCTAGGAGATAAGGATTCCAGCCTCAAGATAACATCAAGGGTTTGAAACTTACCAGTCTGCGGACCAAAGACTCCATGACACCAAATATTCAGTCCATCATGGGACTCTAAAACATCAGACTCATACCACCTGCTAACCCTGTGACCAAACCCCCTCATCTGCAAGCCTTCAAACCCTTACCTCACCTTCCCACCTCTTCTCCTTTATAAACCCCAGATCAGACATCAGAAGGCAGGAGGATTTCAGCCTGGTCATCTCCCAGATGGCAGTTATCGGAGTAAAGTAAAGCTTCCAATCCTTGCACCAACGTTTGGATCTCAAGGTTGTTTGTTAAGTGAGAGAGGGAGCCAAACCTGTTGATAATATCGTTATCTCAGGAAGGGGCTTAGTGTCTTTGATTTAAAAAAAGCTATAAAACAGAAACAAAACAAACCACTAAATGAACTTCTTTCTTCAGGATTTAAAATTCTATGTTCGCGTTGTTTTTTAAATCCCCTCTTCATCCATCCTTCCTCTTTAACCCCTGAGGTTAAAAAAATATGTATCTCTGGCTAGCCTTTCAAAATCTACCCATTGCTGGGCCCTCTGACCCTTTGCCTAAGGTTAATAGGAAAAGCTAGCTAATAGAAAAAGAGAAGCTTAATTTGTGATTTCCAGTCCATCCTTGGTAACAGGTGCTTCTTTTATTAGAAAATGCCCACTGTTTTCCTGTCTGGTTTAGAAAAATGATTGTGATGGTAGACATTTTTTTTTTTTGTCTTTTTTCGTGTCTGGCAACGGATTGCAACCCTCCGTGTCGCACCCGCACCTCGCTCAGCCAGTGAGCGGGAACCGGTCTGTATGTGGGATCCGAACCCTCGGTGGGAGCGCCACCGCGCTCCCAAGCGGCACACTGTAGCAGTGCGCCACCGGGCCGGCCCCGACATTTCTGCATTTACAATGTCTTCAAACCTATGTTCTCCTCTGCGAGGTATAAAAAATACCTGCCCTGCTGGCTTCCCAAGGTTATCAGGGAGTTCGACTGAAACAATTCTTCTGGTAAACCTTTGTAAACTATAAATCCTGCAAAACATTTAAAATTTTTTAAAGTATATTGTTCTTTAGAACGGGGAACCCAAAGAATAGTTTTTGATGAGGTCCTCAGGGAAAAATGCCGAAGTCAAGGGCTTAAGCTAGGATACAAGAACCAGACTTGTAATCTTGGGATAGAAGAGCAAATGTTGGTAGTTATAAATTTAGGGGGAAAAAAGAAGAGAGGGCGAGTGGCAATTCTGTAAATGTAAAGCAGCTTAGCCCAGCTTTAGCCAGTGGTCTGAGAAAAAGTGGAAACTGAGGTAATGTTTTAAAAAAGAGATCTTTGGTTTAAAGTTTGAGTGACTCATTTGTGTGTTACTGGGAGAAAATAAAATATGTCTAAGTTTACATAATATGTGACTCTGAGACTAACTTGCTATATATATTTTGAATAAAACATTTAAGCACTTTCACTCCATAGAGAGGTTGTGACTCCTGAATGATTTTGGCAAGTCACTTTGAAATTTGGAGTTAAAAGACAAAGAATACTAGGTTTTCAGAGTAACTGCAAGGGATGACTCATGTAGCACTCTGAGTAATTAATAGCAGCTTAATTGTGATTTTAAAATTGTAATTCAGTGTCAGCTGCCTGAATTATTCAACGTTTTAAAGACATCTCTTCTGTCAGAGATGAGATTTAAGACTGGACTCTGAGTATGAATAAGCAACTTACTAAACAGGAAATTGCATCACCAGTAACAGAGTCAACATTTAATGGTGATAATAAAGAACCAATGTTTTTTAGCCCATATCCATCTTGAACATAAACAAGAGTTTACCTGTTCAATAGCAGCACATAGTGTTATTTCATAGAAAATTTAATCTTTGACTAAAGATCAATGTTTTTATCTAAGTTAATATTTATTAAATATTCAAATAAAAGAATCACTTAGATTAGTAAAATAAAGGTCATGATTTTAGCAACCAATCCTGATTAGGTTATAAGAAAAAATTTTAAGGGGGCAATGCAATTTTTCATCCTATTATGTTGTTATATAATCTATGTACATGAGATCAGTTTAGGTTTTGACAACTGTGGGAATCCTCAAAAATATTTTAGATCCACAGAGACTTCATTTCCCAAATATTTAGCTCCATATGAAGATTTAGGACTGTGCTACATTATATCAACAAAGCAAAGAGTGGGTAGAAGATACCGTTTGTCACCAGCAAGTTTGCAAACAAGTTGATCTGGAATGTCCACAAACTCAAAGAAACTGTTAGTAGTAATCTCTTTTTATCCCTTGTACATACTTCATAACTCACTCCTAAAGGGCAAGGCTTGGACAAAATGATACAGTAGGAT